GTCTTACTGTGGTTTTATCACACACACACACACACACACACACACACACACACACACATATTGTCATTCAGTGGCCACTACGCTCCTCAATCTCTAAGTCTTAAGCAGTGTCATCTGAGGCGCCACTCTCAGCATTTCCTGTCTTGAACAATAGTATTTCCTGTGTCTGTGTCCACGTAATGGGTGGAGGGAGAGAGTCCTCAAAATCTATATGAGAAAATATCTCTCTAAAGTTGGGCTATGAAAGTGCTCAGTTGTGCACACTGAGCGTGAATTACAGCTTGCCAAAGTTTAAATAGTAATATGGCAGGTTGTATTTTATTATAAGAAACTATGAAGGATTATCTTGTTATAATCAGCTGCACTAACAAGCCGGGAATCAATTATTTTTTACATTTTCATTACAACCTCGACCGGTATTTAAGCTCATGTAAATAAAGACTACATAAGTCATTTCTTTAACCTACATGAGTATAATCTAGTGTGAAAAGTACATATTGTTCCAAGTACTGACCCTTTGAAGTTTAATGCTTCAGGATGTTGGAAGTACGTAATTTTTCCAATTTACATCATGAAAAAAAGGTGTGGGAGGCACAGACATCATGCACTGGGTGGAGGTGGCAAATACAGGGACCTGCAGACCAGGAGGAGCCACCACGTCTCACATGTTCTACCAGATGTCTACATGCTGCTGTTTTATAGAAAATGGAGGTGGGAGGAGAGACCTTTTTTAATTTGTCATAATGAAAGTCACCATGAATGGATGGCAACAACATTCATTTTCATAAATGGAGTAACAGATGTGTCTGCACGCTTTAAATCCACGATTCCTTTCTATTTCAGTAAATGATGGAGAGTCTGTTTTGCATTAGGAATTTCATTTTCTCGTTGTTTACTATTCTGACCCTCTGACAGCTGTGTAACCTGAGGGAATCCACTATATTTAACAGTTTGCTGCCATCTTGTGGGGAAATCATATTATTACCTCCAAATGGTTCTCAAGACTTTTGAAAGAATAACTTTTAAAAAGACTTGTAAACTAACAGGGTTAAATGGTCTCTAGTTGTGTTGAAATAATTACTTACTAATGAGCTGTATGTTTCTATTCTACATGATAAAGAGATACAGTAAAATCTGTATAATATGGATTCTGATAAAGAAACTATAAAAATCTGTGATCTGTTTATTTATTTTTTGTTCAAATCAAATATTGGCTTCACGAACACCAATACTGTGAGGACAACAATCAATAAAAGATCAATATTTTTCAGCAATCAGACTATTTTCTGAGGTTTTCTGAGATAATGGCTACTGTGAAAATCAGCTTTTACTGGATGAGAGATTTAATTAACTGCTTACATCTTGAAAATATTAGATATTCACAACATGGGAAGGAAAGGGAAGGGAGAAATTTAATTAGATTTGGTAGCCATTTATGTATATCTCCTCTCTCCGCCTGGGGAGGGTTCACCCCCTTTTTCTCTATTTTTTTCTCCTAATTGTAAAGTTAATTTCTATGTATATCTTTTCTGTTGTGACTGTTTTAGTTGTTACTTTCAGGGTAATAGAGGGGGATTGTGATAAGTATGTCAAAAGTATTGTTTTCTTTTGTCTTCTCCTTTTCATAAAAAACAAATAACTCCAATAACCACATGAGACGAATTCATATTTACAAAACACAAATTATGAAAAGTCTAGAATTAAAAATCTGTAAAATTATTAATTAGACTTTAAGGTACAGAGGAGTGACAGAGCTAGCTTAGCATCTCTCCCTGTCAAACATCAGTACAAGCTAAAATGGCCGTTGTTAACCGTTTGTAACCGTTATTACTGCGGCTTTAAAGACGTTCCCGCCTTCCTCAAAAACTCTTCTTGGCAGTTGGAGCCAAAACAATAGCGTGGCCTGTATCTGGCAAGTTTTTGAAACTTTAACGCTAATAATAAATGAATTTTACGATAAGATTAGCTAATGTTAGCTACTCTGTTTTTCCTCCTAACATTTAAGCTATAATGATATATTAAGCCAGATAAGTTAGCTAACAAGATAATAGCCACACAAGCTAATATCCTATTTTGACGTTGAGCCTCTTCAGATGTCATAGTGGCTTATAATCAACATATATGACAGGATTTCATAAATTAGGTAACAAAAAAACTGGTTCCCCAATAAATCTGGAAGAAAAACTGCAAAACTCACCACAATGTTTTCTGAAATAGCTTTCAGATGACTTCTCATTCCAAGAGGAACATCAACACTCAAGACATCAGGTAAATTACATTGGGCTCAATCCAGGTTTAGCCAGAAGCTGAACTATGGGCCAGTCATCTGTCCAATCCATATTTAAAAAGATTTATGAAGATTATGTGTAGTTCACATGCTTGTTTGGCAAATCTTTCCAAGCAAACAAGAGTTTAAAGGCTACAAGTGAGAGCATGTAGTTAATTGTCTGTGTATATAGCTGTCAAAACATTGCTGACTTTGTTTATAGGATGATTTATTGGTGCTAAACATGAATATTGTGTAATACGAAGCCTCTACATTTACTTGTGCAATAAATATAAGGGCAGAAATGTATTACTTACAATAATTACTTATTTTTTTAGTAGATGAAATCCATTGCATATAAACCCTGTCACAATATGTCGCTTGTACACATGTAGGAAAATGTATAGTAATAGTATAGATTAATCTATAAACTGTACCACTGGTTGTGTGTCTTGTAAGCTCAATCTTGTGAAACTTAACTATGATTCTCTAAATGTTTGATAAATTATTCTTTTGATTCTTCTCCCACTAGTGTGCAGCTTGTAACAGAGCAGCTTGTGAGCTCTCCACAGCTGATAAACCCTATAATTGCAGCACTTCAGATAACAGTTGCCAGCAATAAGATTGTGGCGTAAGATTTCTAGAAACCTGAATCTCTGTCAGCAGGGCTCACGTAATATGGTGGTACATGGATTCCCTTCATTGTCATATTAATCCTGCTGATGCACATCAGTGGAATCCCTCATGATTCATCCTCACTCTTAAGCAAAGCGTGAGACAGCGTTATTTTGTAAGGCATTATTTAATCAATGCACTCAGCAGATGACTGTTACGAAAGACAAAACAGATTAATCTGATACAACCACCCACTGTCTCAATGTCTCAAGCTGACTAACCCCGCATAGAAAAACTGGCAAGGCTGCACAAACCACTAAAGAAATCAGAAAGCTCATCTACGGGCCCCTGTGCTTTGGCCCCTTAGCTGATTCACCAGTCTGAAACCACATTCTACTAACAGTCAATCGGATGACTAATCTTGCAGACTAGGCAGGTTAAAAACTGCAACGTAGAAACAATTTTATGCTTGAGGTGAAGCTGACATATGAAGTTGAAGCATCCCATTCAGCAGAAACTTAACTGTACTGTTATTCAGTGACTAATGTTTCAGATGGCTTTAAGGACTACAAATGTCCACCCTTAATAGACCAGTGCGCAGGATTTAGTGGCATCTAGTGGTGTAGTTGTAGATGACAATTCCCTTGCTTTATCCTCCCCTTCCAAGCATGTAGAGAAACTATGGTAAAAACCCTAGGTCTTATCTAGAGCCAGTGTTTTGTTTGTCTGTTCTAAGCTACTGTACAAACAAGGAAAGGTAACAATTATTATTTTTTGTGTTGATTATACTCACCAAAAAACATATCTATGAATATTATATTCCATTTATGCCAAGAGCTCCTCCTAAATGTTTACCTGTAGCTTCAATTATAAGGTATTAATCTATCAATCATGAGATATGTCTGTTTACATAGGCTGCTGTATGTTGTTTTAATCCAGACTCAGTGAACTGTTCTTAGAGCTGCCTTTATGGGCTGAAGTAAGCCCTGACTACAAATCTGTGAATCTGTTTGTAAATCAGTAATGGTAATTACACACCACAGAGCTTCCACAGTAAGCCCTCAAAAACTATTTTAAAACACTGTAACAAATTTAAATTAACACAACAAAATACGTCCTGGACTGAAATCTATCTCCAGGTGGCACTGTGTATCTGTGTCCTGAAACACTCATACACTGCACATACTGCACATACTGCAATTTCCTCTGCAACTAATTTCTTTCTACAAAATTCGTTTGTTTTGGTGGCCAGCTGACAGCAGAGGGAGAGAGAGCGATAAGAATGAGGAGGAGAGGAGAAAGAAAGAACCCATATATGCAACAAAGGTATGTGGTCCAGATTTTGAATCCAGATCTACAGTATATGGCGTGGACCAAAACCAACTCAACCACCAGAATGCCCCAGTTCTTATTT